AATAAAGAAAATACACTGATACACTGCTGCTGTTCATACAGTGAGTGAGAGTGAGGACTAGAGAGAGAACGGACCTGAAACAAAAAATTCAAAGGTGGAGGCCAGAAAAGTAAAGGCTTAACACTGTCAGACTGTGAGGGAACTTGTAGTATGGCCTGTTCGCATTTTAATGGTCCAAGGCTGCAGGGTTATTCAATTCAGAGACAGCTGTGATGTCCCCAATATAAAGACTTTAGCAGAATTATTATTAGATGCTTGTGTTTGTACTGGGATGGTTCGGTTCTGTCAGTCGATCTAATACTGGACTCAGTTCAGTACAACGATCCAAGATCACAGATCTATAGAATCTGTATCAGCTGAGCAGTCATCGCTGAACCCTCATTTCCTCCTCATCCTTCCATTCCCGTGCATCCATCACGCAGCATTACGCAAGCGTGTCTGCACAGTATTTACATATTTAGAACCTCCACTCTGGAATATTATTTGAAAACAAGTTTGAAAGTCAATAGTTTTTCTTTATTTATGTGAATGATCTTCTGTGCGTCTCATGGCACAGTCATGTTCACTGCATCGATTTAACACACACTCATCCTTGATGATACACACACAGTGTTAGAAGATATTATTGAAACCATTAATGACTCAGCTCTGCAACTTTACTGAATAATTTTATCTGAACGTATTTTGCTGTAAGTTGTTTTATACCTTTTATAATTGAAGGTTCTTTTGGAACAGGTATGTCGCGCGAGCACACATACCTGAAGTGGATCATTAATCTGCTTCAGTTCACCTCCTCACGTCTGCATCGCCACTTCCCCGTCTCCAAAATGTTCGTACGCATGACACAGAGTTTGCGTGGAAATGCGCACATTTTCCCGTCAAGTTTGTTTTTATAAATCCCACGCACGTTTCAGGCCCCGTTTGGTGTGTACGCAACAGCTGACAATGCAGAGCTGGCTGACAATGCAGGAGGGACTCATGGACCATTTCTGCAGCAAGTCATTGTGGACATACAGAGACCTCTAGTGTTTTATTAATGTTATTACATTGAAGGTACAGTGTGTAGAATTTAGTGATATCTAGTGTTGAAGTGTCATGTTGCAGCTGAACACCCCTCACCTCACCCTCTCCTTCCAAACATGAAAAGAACCTGTGGTAGCTTCAGTTGTCATAAAAACTCAAATGGTGTTTAGTTTGTCCAGTCTGGACTAATGTAAAAAACATTAGATTAGATTAGATATACTTTATTCATCCCACGACGGGGAAATTTACATGTTACAGCAGCAGAGAGAAAGTGTAGTATACACTACAGAAATTAAAATGGAAAAGGCAATAACACAAAACAACAGACAGAAATTTCTGTAACCTACACAGTAAAAAAGAAAACAATCGACCTGCAACAGACAATGTGCAAAAGGGTACTGAGGATAAAAAGAGTGGCATGATGTAAAAAGTATTGTAATGTAAAGTGTATAAGTAATATTGTCAAAGTAAGTGACCATGATATAAATAATATTGCAAAAAGTAAGTGACCATGACATGAATAGTACAGCAAGGCATAAATGAAATAAAATGAAATAAGAAAATATTGCAATGTAAAGTGACCATGA